GCGAGGGTGACATGTTGGAGCAGCTACATTTAGATGGTACAGTATACTATACTACCTATTGAATACGGCCCAGTAGCTATACACTTTATACTGCCTACTATTTGCTGAATATGGATTTCACAAACAGTAGGCAAACCTGATGTCACATGATCATCGCCTTGCATCCAGTTTTTAGATTGCAAATAGATTGTTAGGTTATTTTGTATGGAAGGCAAACACATGGCATGTGTAAGAAGAATATTATGGCCACAAATTAAGAATTTGTTCCCACAACTTTTATGTTTTATTAAATTTGTATTCATATGTTTCCTTGCTTTAGTTAAAACATGTCCACATTGTACAAACTTTTTCTATAATTTAAGTTCATTTAGAACCATATTGTACAAATTTGTCCCATCGTTTTAGTTAAATAGTGGCCATTTATAGAAATTTGTCCCATCGTTTTAGTTAAATAGTGGCCATTTATACAAATTTGTCCCATCGTTTTAGTTAAATAGTGGCCATTTATACAAATTCGCCCCATCGTTTTAGTTAAATAGTGGCCATTTATACAAATTCGCCCCATCATTTTAGTTAAATTGTGGCAATCTGACTACGTTGTAATAATTTGTTCTCTCATTTTAAAATCGATAGTGGGAATTAATTCTTAATTGTGCATGTCTTTTTAATTTATTTTTCCTGAATGTCAAGATGAGGCTGTCATTTCATTTTGTATTGCTGTATTACATTTTGTATAAAAATGTAAGTCTTTTGGCAGTTTGATCAACTAATGAGTAACAAAATATATAATTTGTCACACTGGGAAGTGGGAATGGAAGTGGAGTGCATTGGAAATATGGGATACAGTATTCCATGCGGTGTGCTTTATCATATTACTGGACATTGTAATAGACCATCTGCTTCATGTACACAGAAAAAGTGCATATTTGCACAGTATACATACTAAATACTGCAGAAATAGTAAGGGTACTAGATTGGCATGCAAGTCCAAATATAGCAAATGTTTAAAAAAGCAATAACACAGAGTAAAAAGCCAGCCAACAAATGGCTTTATTCTGCCTTCAAGTGCACCTTGGAAACTCGTACTCCCAAGTCAGGCACTCGTTATTACGTATTTGCATTTAAGTCACATAGCCTAAACAAAACAAAGCAACTGTGAACAATATAATCCCCCAAAAGTACATCTGAATTCACAATGCTAAAACAATTAAAATACAGCATGTCAAATTAAAGTAACTTGCAAAATCGTTCAGTATTCACTGCAGAATTGCTTTCCTCTCACTGATCTCTATAAACGTTACAGATAGGCCTATGTTGTACGTAAGATATCTATGTTATAGATCAGTATTTTCACAATGTTTCAAATAAACACAGCCCCTTCCAACATCACAACTCGGCAACTCGTGTTTTATCAAGAAATTTGATTTTCTGCACTCGTAAATATGACTTTGCCTGGTCGGAACTTGTAATTACGACATTTCTGACTTCACTTTGAAGGCCACACACTCACAGTTTTCCCATGCACAATGAACGGAGATAGGGGGGGGAAAAGTGTTTTAATATCAAAAAAATGTTTTAACTGCATATGCTGTAAGTGACTGAGCTGGTTTAAACAGCTGTGATGAATTTGAATTCGTGTTCTGTACATAAGAAGGAGAACTTCGTGCTGCTGTGATCTTTGCACGAGATGCTGCGAGTGCAAAAGTGCAAGATTTCGAGAGTGCAGTGGTAATTGAGAGCTGGTGCAGCGCTGACGGATCCTGACACTTCAGATCTCTGAGCATCATCGACTCTAATCTGGGGGGAGCGTCTCGGAGACCCTTATTATCAGACTCAGCGATGCTCTCCATGTCTGCGCAAGTGGCCCTTGAGGCAGAGCACCAGAGGAACAACTTTACATTAAGACAGAATACACAATGCCATCAGACGAACTGATAATATTTGAGAAAGAGGGTTCTTTTTCATTTTTTTTCTCACTGACACACTCATGCATTATTCCTCTCTTCTTATCTGGGTGTATTACTCGGTTATTTCATCATATAGCTATAGTACAGTGTACTTGACTAAAGCATGGCAGCTTGATTCAAAAGGACATTCGGATCCAAACCCAGCTTTAGACATCTCACAGATGAAGCCCCAAGGTTTATGGTCCCATTTTAAGATGTAGACACTTATTAACAGATTAGGCACGCACTATTGTATGAGAGTATGCCTAATTCAACAGAAAGCCCTTCTGTTTAAACTATACCTCACCCAAGTTGGATTATACTGCAGCTCATAAAATGTCATGCAAAGTTAAAGCCCAAGTGTTGACTGCTCTGCAGGCAAACAAACGCATAATCGGTCACGTGCCGTCTAAACGCTTCACGAGCGCAGTGGTACCTAGCTCGACAGAACCCCGGCGGACTGATGAATGAACAGCCTCCTGCTCGCGAGCTCGCTGGGAGAGGGTGGACATGTCAGTGTCTCGAGACTCTCTCTAGACAGTTACGAAATATTTCAACGCTCAGGCAAGGGCAAAGATGAGCTATTGCGACACGGCCAGGCACACCTTTGGCGAAACATGCTTTTTTTAGCGAGCGAAATGTATCGCTGAATCCGCTCGGGGTCTTATACGGTCTCGAATGGTGCAGCAACGTGCATTTAAAAATGAATAACATAAACACACCAAAAAAAAAAATACTCACACATCGGTCGTATTGTTGCAGAATAGCGAAAAGCTGTCTTGTGGACAAGGACGGAGAGGTAGTAATTCGCGCCCCCTTCCCCCTCCGGCATCTAGTGTGAGTGTATCGGAGTCGCTAGCGGACTATCAGGCTCGCCGTCTCCGCGTCCTGGCCGCTCGCTACAATAACAAAAGCGGGTAGACATTGTGCGCTGAGCGTCTCGCCCGGCTCCAGCCAATAGGAGGGCGAGTCTCAAAAGGACGGCGGCGCTCAGCCAATCACGACGCGGCTCTCGCGGCTGGGCCCCCGGCCCGAGCTCTGTCTGGGTCGCGTCTGGACTGACATATCGGCGCGACTGTTTTTTTAAGGTGGCGCCGGTGAGATTACTCCGCCCCGTATCGGCTCACCCCACCCCAATCATCCCTCCTCAGCTTCCATCGATGATTGAAATGTACAACAGCCAGTGATGGCTACTTTTAGACTCGCACTCCAGGGCCACATGCAACGAGCACTAGAAAACATGTATGGTGCTCTTATTAATAAAGCACTAAAATATACAACGGTGCCCAAAAGTCTGAGAGCCCGTCGAAAATCTGGGATATAATCTTGAAATAAACAAAAGGTGTAGGGCTATAAAACAAAGAAAGCATAGTCACTTCATTCAAAAGATCAGATGTTCAAGCGTTTTCACTACTTTTGGACACGAGTAGATATATTTTACAGGAACCGCTTACAGTAGCATGCACATATTTGAGCTAAGTTTGCATATGCAGTGAGCATCAAATGTGAACGGACTCCAAAAGGCTTTTACTCTTTCATTTGACTTATGAGTGATTTCCAGCAATCTGTCTTTAATCTCTCATCAACGGAGTGACTTTTAGGAGGCCCCTCATATGATTCCCTCCCTTGACCTTTCACCTGTCCTGAAATCTTTTTCTAACCCTCTCCCTTTCAGCTAAAACAAGAGGTCACCTTCAGCCCTTTCTCGTATCCTCTTACAAAGCATCCACTATTTACATAAGACATGTGCATACCTAAGATTTCACTGCTGATTCAATTATAATGCAATGCCTGGGGAAGCTCAGTTCCCCCCTAAAGTTCTCATTTATGTCCACACACTTGTATTGGCTTGATCTGTGACTTTTATATATAAATAATTCTAACACTCTTAAATGAACAATGTTAATGAAAAGCTATGTTAATGAATAGTATCCCGTCTTCCGAGGCTAAATATCTGTATGTAAAAAGTAAAATGTATATATTTTAAGATTCAAATGTTTTAGAATGTTTTCTTAAATGGATAGTGTACACAAAAATTTAAAATTCTGTCAAGTTACTTGACTTTACGCGCTGATTTCCATTCGAACGACAAAAGATCTCGCAACTTTACTTGCTCAGCAGTGGATGCTCTGCGGTGAATGGGTGCCGTCAGAATGAGAGTCCAAACCGCTGATAAAAACATCACGATAATCCACATCAAGTGGATTGAACTTCAAACTGTTGCTTCCGTCTAAAATACAAATAATATTGCTTTCTCCAGTGAAAAAGTAATCTTGTCTGAATCAGGAGAGAAATATGCACAGATAATATTAATATATATAAATAAGCTCCATTTACAAGCAAAAAGAGTCCAAAACAGTTCAAAATAAATATATATATATTAGTAGATTTCGATGTGAGCACAAGGGATGGACTTTATCACTGGACGTTAATATGGCGTTATTATGGACTCGTGGTTTGGCCAGAAGTAACCATGTAAAGTTAAAAAGTCTTAATGACGCATTTATTTCTTACAAACACGCAGCTTTTCACTTCACAAGACGTTAACTGATGGACTGGAGTGGTGTGGATTATTGTGATGTTTTTATCAGCTGTTTGGAATCTCATTCTGACGGCACCCATTGACGGCAGAGGATCCATTGGTGAACCAGTGATGCTACATTTCTACAAATCTGTTCCCATGAAAAACAAACTCATCTACATCTTGAATGGCAGAAGGTGAGTACATTTTAATTTTTGGGTGAACGATTCCTTTAAATACATGAAGTACATTTGCAACAGAAAATACTTAGTTAAAAATGTGTATAGAGTCTAAACCCAAGAAAAAAAATATATGGTACGAAAAAAATAATACACTGTACTGTTAAGTGTGGATAAATTCCACACGTCAGCAAAAAAATTACAACAATAATCTGCTTTCACTGATTAGATCAAGACTGACAGCAGAATATTTACTGGCCAGGTACATTAGACAGTTCTGATCAATAATAATAATTCAAATCCTAAATGTTCAAACGATTAGCAAATCCACAGCATTGCATTTTTAAGCAACAGTTAAATTCATACAGACAAATGTTTTATTAAAAAGTCACATGTTCAAGAAAGAAATGAGTGCATATTTACACTGCTGTCTCCCAGACTTCTCTTAAGTGAACAGACATTAATGCTGCAGTGTTCTGCAAGCAGTGCTTTGCATAGCCCAGCGCCCTTTAATGATCTGAGGAAGATTCTGCAGATCTACAGCGTTGGTCCTTGGCATTGAGCACAGCGTAATGGTGCATTCCCAAAATGTGAGATTTCAGACATCATGGTTTGCTGGGAGAGCGTGGGGTAAATGCTCCAGATGCCTCAAGCACGGTCTTCCTGCGTGCCGTCTCCTTAGCAACATTATGGTTCAGCCTTCGCAAACGCTCCTGTAACAAAGATTGGAGAAGATTAAGAGGAAAACACCATGCAATACTGTGCATACTGACTGATGTTTTATATTCAAAGTCTCTATCTCTTACCTGTGCGTTCTGGAGTATGTTGTTGACCAGCACCACTCTTCGCCTGGCATTAAGCAGTTTTTTAACATATGGGTCTAAGTCTAGTGCCACCTTCTGGTGTTCATTGATCCTACTCAACTCTGCAGGAAAAAATGCTCATGTGAGATGACATAATATTCATGAATTCTGCAGAAAGGGGTAGGAGAGTTGCATTATATAGATTTTGTAATGTGGACAGATTACTAAATACTTACTAATACTGCAAATAGACATACAATCACCTTTTAAATTCTATGCCAAAAGAAGTTATAGTCATAACATGTCACTTTTTTCAGTCTAGGATGACAATATGTTCTGTTTTTTCCCAGACATGTCCTGGCTGGGTTTTCTAAATTGCCTAAAATGTCTTTGTTTTCCTATTGATGTTCTCTCTGCATATACATTATATACTGTATATGCACGTGTATTTGCATTGCTTTGACATTCTCTGTAGATCATCCCACCTTCTCGCATGCATTGATTGGTCGATTATGCACAATGCCCGCACACTATTGGTCAAGCTTCTTTTCAGTCATTACCTTCTGCAAGTATGAAAACAATTGGCAATTTATAAATCCCAGCCAGGACATGTCCGGTAGAGAGAGGATGTATGGCCACCCTATTGAATTGCTTTGTCTTGTTTTTTTAAAGAGTTGTAATAATCTCGAAGCTGGAAGTGCAACGGTCACAACTGTTTTGTGAGACAACTCTATTGCATCATCCAAAACATGCAATCTGTGCTTCAAAACCTAGTTGTTGTGTCAGTAATTTGGCCAATGCCACCTAAATTAAGTGTTCTTGTCATTGCGTGAGCTGTACTGATCAAAATGTTTAGGTTTTTTCCACCACAAAAGTCACCCATTGAAATTTTTTCAAATACAAATTTCATTTTTGTCTAGCTGAATTCTACTGCGTATCACACTGAGCTTTAAAGATACAGATTTGAACAGGAAATAAGCAATATTTTAGTTCACAGAATTTGTATTTGTATTTTTGTAGATGTGTTACATGCAAAGAGAAAATTCAGATTTGCATGTCCATTTTTACCCATGTCTAACATATAAATTCATATATAATTAACAGAAGGTTGCTACAAATGGACATGTATATATCCATATACTGTATATGCTTCCACACTTGTTGATTGGTATAACTGTGATTCCTATTTTATTACTATGGCATGTAATTTTGCCAATTTATTTCTAAATTGCCTAAAATGTCTTTGTTTTCCTATTGATGTTCTCTCTGCATATACATTATATACTGTATATGCACGTGTATTTGCATTGCTTTGACGTTCTCTGTAGATCATCCCCCCTTCTCGCATGCATTGATTGGTCGATTATGCACAATGCCCGCACACTATTGGTCAAGCTTCTTTTCAGTCATTACCTTCTGCAAGTATGAAAACAATTGGCAATTTATAAATCCCAGCCAGGACATGTCCGGTAGAGAGAGGATGTATGGCCACCCTATTGAATTGCTTTGTCTTGTTTTCTTAAAGAGTTGTAATAATCTCGAAGCTGGAAGTGCAACGGTCACAACTGTTTTGTGAGACAACTCTATTGCATCATCCAAAACATGCAATCTGTGCTTCAAAACCTAGTTGTTGTGTCAGTAATTTGGCCAATGCCACCTAAATTAAGTGTTATTGTCATTGCGTGAGCTGTACTGATCAAAATGTTTAGGTTTTTTCCACCACAAAAGTCACCCATTGAAATTTTTTCAAATACAAATTTAATTTTTGTCTAGCTGAATTCTACTGCGTATCACACTGAGCTTTAAAGATACAGATTTGAACAGGAAATAAGCAATATTTTAGTTCACAGAATTTGTATTTGTATTTTTGTAGATGGGTTACATGCAAAGAGAAAATTCAGATTTGCATGTCCATTTTTACCCATGTCTAACATATAAATTCATATATAATTAACAGAAGGTTGCTACAAATGGACATGTATATATCCATATACTGTATATGCTTCCACACTTGTTGATTGGTATAACTGTGATTCCTATTTTATTACTATGGCATGTAATTTTGCCAATTTAGTAAACATCACAAACCTTCCGTGTCACAGATATTTACCGAATACACATCTATGTCTGACAGTTTTTGACAATTAAATGGATAATTTTACACGTGATGGCTCATACAATGAAAGAATATTTGGTTACACTTTGTTTCGATAGTCCACTTGAGACATTCTATTAACTACAAGTAACTTTGTAACTACATGTCAACTAATTCTCATTAATTTGCAACTACATGTCTACTAACTCTCAGAGTAGACTGTTAGGGTAGGTTTAGGGTTAGTAGAATAAGTTGACAAAGAAAGTGTTAGAAGATATTAAGCAGACAGTCTACTAATACTCTACTAACTGCTAGTTGACATGTAGTTGCAAAGTTACTTACTGTTAATAGAATGTCTAAAGTGGACTATCGAAATAAAGTGTTACCGAATATTTATAAGCTGTGAAGATTATTACAATTTCACTCAGAATCAACTCGTATTATTGTGCAAATTGTTGACAATTGTACTCACGATTTCGCACGCAGGTGCCAAAGCACGTGCAATCTGGTGTGAACTATGGTTCACAAATTGCCCAGAGATCTGAACTTATTGTTTTGAGAAAAATACATCTCATTCAAGAATTAAGCCAAAGTGACTGAGGAAAACTGTAAATGCATTATCACGTCAGACCAACTTACCAGATGCCAAATTATCAATGTGTTCCCTAAGTTCCACTTGGCTTTCTCTGTGAAGACAAATTTACATTATATAAACGATGTAGCTGTAAAATCCATGACTGCCCTTACGAAAAAGAAGTTTATTCAAGTGTGCTATTAGTATACTTCTTTTAAACTAAAAAATAGGAAAGTATACTTTCAGTCAAATTTTATGTACTTCTCAGAAATATACTTAAAATGACATTTAAGTATACTTGACTTAATACTTAGAAAAAGTCTAAATATATTTGAGCTATACTTGTGCTCCGAGAACGTTTTCATTGTGATACGGTAGGGGGCGCAAGTACACATCTTCTGTACAGAATTTCCACAACAACAAAAAAACACAAGTGAAGAAGAAACCGAAACAACAGACGCTTCCACATGTATTCTAACACGATCACCAGACATAAAACAGCATCAAAACTGTGTAACATTATGGAATAAAATGTCGACCAATGAAGAGTTAATAATGACTGTCAAGCTTTGGGGTGTTGATCGACTTTATCTACGTTTTGATTATCATTCTAAATCCAATTAATAGTAATTTTTCAGCTTTTTGTTCAAAATCTTGTTAATTTCTTTATTTATAAAACTTATCCGCATTCAAGTGTTTAAAAAAAGAATGCATGAAGCTAGAATAAAATGTTTTTGTTTACAAGCAGATACCCTGTTATTTTGATTTTTTGTATGTTCAGATATTTATATATAACAAAATATATACAAATTAATACCTAAATAGGGACATAGTAGTATACTTAAAGTATGATGTGAAGTTCACTTAAAGAAAACTTACGAGTATACTTGCAGTATAAAACTACTAAACTAGTAGTTTACTGAGACTATACTTCAAAGTGTACTAAAAATGCTACTACAAGTAATTAATTAGAAAACTATCAGTATTCATATAAGTTCACTTTTAGTATAGTTGCAGTACAAACTAAAAACAGATGTAAACTAGTTGTGTACTCAAAGTTTACTACTGTTACACTTAAAGCATACTTAAAAGTATACTTTTATATACTAGAAAGTGGGCCAATTTAGTCCCAAGGAGTATTGAAATAGTACACTTACAAGTACACTGATATTTGTATACTTACCACATAAAGTATACTTAAAATATACTTAATAAAATAAACTTGAAGTATACTACTTTTTGGTAAGGGTGTTCATCACATCTCAAACGCAAAAGTGGTGCAACACAACGAAAAGGTTAGAAATAAATGAATAAATGAACTGTTTGACATGACACAGCACCTCTGAGTCACGAGGCCTGTCATGTTGACAGTCATTAGCTTGTTAGCAAACAGAACTGCTCATTTTGCATTAAACATTTCTCGGGTTTAAAAAACACACGTTTCCCAAACTGCACTACCTGACTGAGTGCACATGTAAGTCGAGCTGCTGTACAGCGGGTCTCAGGAGGTCCAGCAAGCCCTCGGCGAGAGCGTCTCTCCCTGATGGGGTTTCCAGCACTGCTAGCGCTGCCATCTTGACTGAGCTCCGAGCTGACTGACAACGACACTAACGTTGGTCACTGCGCCCTGCAGATAGATATCATGACACGAGCTGTGCGATGATTTGTATGTGCGCATATTCTGCGTCACACACACACGGCTGTGTGCGCATACAGTAGTAATACTGGCGCACTGCATACTATCTACGACGCAGTATACACTGAGTGTGAAACTAGCAGTGTTGGGGAAAGTTACTTTTAAAAGTAATGCATTACAATATTGCGTTACTCCATAAAAAAGTAACTAATTACGTTACTTAGTTACTTTTTAATGTGTTGCGTTACTTTTGCGTTACTTTTTAAATCTGCACAGGGCTTGCTTGTTTGTTTTTAAAATAAAAAAGTTATATTTTTGGCAAATATAAAAGCCTTTCACACCAGAAGTGAAATGAATCAGCCTCGGGCTGAAGGGAAAGTACATTTACGTCCGTACAGTAGAATGCAGAAGAAGACATTCAACACACTTCAGCAATAAAAAAGTTGTCTAGAGTAATTTGTGGTTATTAGTACGGCTGTGGGGAAGTCGTGGCCTAATGGTTAGAGACTCGGACTCATAACCCAAAGTACAGCGCTCTCTCCGACCTTCAATACCACGACTGAGGTGCCCTTGAGCAAGGCACTGAACCCCCAACTGCTCCCCGGGGGCCGCAGCATAAATGGCTGCCCACTGCTCCG